GGGCTTTATCACACTTCGGTCAAAACTGTCGAATCGAGAATTAATGTTCCGCTTCTTACGGGGTCATACGGGCTTAGTAGCATTATATACCCACCCGGGCAACACGCTTAAAGATGTTACTGAAGCGGTTATTATTCGATCGAAAGAATGCGTATAAAATTAAAAATACACTCAGAGAATTCGGAGGTAAGCTTCATGATCCTTGTTAAATTATTTATAACAGAAAGAAGATAGGATATTTATAGTTTATATATGACTTTATTTTTACGAGTATCCGTGCAATCAGTGATAATTTGATTGTGAAGAAAATTTGATAGACTGGCGATCAATGGTTTCCATATAAATCTCCAATGTAATTGCCTTCAATTGGTATTTTTCGTCGCCCAAACCCATATACGATCAAAATGATCGCGCTGTCAAACTATCTTTCAATGTTAACCAACCCCCGCAACAGGTATACTATTCAAAAAAAGTAGGGGATATTTGATTTTTAAGTGTTATTAAAGTCACCTAATGAAACTGACGAAGAAACAAATGACAAAATGAAATGAAGTTCACATTCATCGATTTATTCCAAATGATCGTTAGACTAAGTAAGGCACAGACTGACCATTATAAGGGTAAAATGATACCCGGGGTCAAACAGCAAAGTTACCACAGCATCACGACCAAGTCAGTAACGGGTAAATCCTCCTCTGTTTGCCAAACAAGCATTGATCCGACGTGGCATACTCCTAATGAGACGTCTACGGTCATTTTGGTCCAGATTGTCCCATTCCTGTTGCAACGCAGCAGCAAGTTCTTGGACATTGGCAGGACGTTGTTGACGTTGACGTAACCTCTGTCCAAGCATGTCCCAGACATGCTCGATGGGGGAGAGGTCGGGACTCAGTGCTGGCCAAGGTAATGTGGTGATGTTCTGTTGTTGGAGGTAACCTGTAACGATCCTGGCCCTGTGACATCTTGCGTTGTCATCCTGGAAGATGAAACGGCGGCCATGACGTCGTGCGAACGGCACAACATGGACTGCCAAGATGTTGTCCCGGTAGTACTGGCCTGTAACACGCCCTGCAACAACAGGTAATGCCGTTCTTCCAGCAACAGTGATGCCTCCCCACACCATAACAGAACCACCCCCAAATCGATCATGTCTGATGACGTTAACGTCTTGGAAGCGCTCGTTTCGACGACGCCACACCCTCCTACGTCTGTCCAAAAAATCAACAGTGAACCTTGACTCATCTGAAAACATCACATTGCTCCAGCGTCGATTATCCCAGTGTTGACGATCCCTACACCAACGACGTCTTGCCTGAATGTGATGATCTCTCAAACAAGGGATCACGCGAGGACGTCGGGCGCGAAGGTGACCCCTATGCAGTCGATTCCGAATCGTCTGGCCACTCACTCTCACACCAGTGTCTGTTTGAAGACGAGCGCTGATCTGATTTGCTGTGATGACACGATTTCTCAAGGCCAAGGTACGGATAAATCGATCCTGGGCTTGAGTTGTCGCCCTTGGTCGACCTGAGCGTGGTCTGTCCTGTACAGATTGTGTATCACGGTATCTGGACCATAGCCTGCTTATGACAGACTGAGAAACATTCATCGTCCGCGCCATAACCGCCTGTGTTGTGCCGATCTGTAGCATGCCAAGGGCACGTAACCTTTCATTTTGGGTAAGCCGACGCATATCAAAATTTGTTTTCTGGTCACTAAAACAATTAAACTGATGTTCCCACCCTGGAATTCAATGCCACAATGACTGTAACATTCAAAGTCAGAGTCGTGCAAATCTTGGGTTGGAGCCCCATGATGATCCCAAGCATCACCTGCATTCCATGCGGTAGCTATTGGTGCGTTTGGGCGTCACATGTAACTGGAAATGTTTCTTCTGTTAGGTTCTATAGTGACTTTTTTCGTAGTCATTTGCATATTTTAGTATTATGCCCCCAAAATCAAATATCCCCTACTTTTTTTGAATAGTATATATTGGATTCGACCAATACGTCACGAAGACATTGATGACATCGACTCTGTCGAAATTACAAGTAAATTTTCAAATTTTTCAAGAGAGAACTTGTTTTCATCGTTGTGATAATTAGTTGTGCAATGGATTTTATCGAACGGGAGTTCATTACAAACACACAGTTAAGTTTATAATAACCAAAGTTAAGTAGTTTGTTCATAATCGAAGAAATCTGTTTAAAATTTACGATGGTTCACACAGTAAGGTGTGAATCGTATATTCAGTAATATATCCAACAGGATAGCGATCAGTTTAAAGTAATTACCATATTCCTAGATAACATCTGTATGTGGGTAACACGTTAACATATAGTCAAATAGGCTGACAGGATGTATATTTGTCATTATCTTGAAAACGTGACCTGTAAATGTTACGAAACGTCGTTATCAAATAACAGAGAAGTAATTATATCCATACATGTATATGCCCTGCGTTGTGTTTTGTTACGAATAGTTAACCGTATTTCTAGATGTCACTTAAATATCGGTTGTTAGCTTGTGTACCTTAAATAAAATACACCTGATTTCACGATTGAGGAAGTATAATAGTGACCTAATTTAATATCGTGGACAGCTCCCATTCAGACCAATAGAATGAGGTTTAATATCTCATTTTGAGACAAGCCTATTCTTATCTATGGTTACATGTACAATGCAAGGTAGGTACACTTTGTCCAGTCATTGTCGTTTCATTTTTCTGTGATTACCAATGTAAAGGGTTATTTGTATGTATATGGCTGTACCTCGCTCGGTTTTACATTCAATCCAAACGATTAGGCAACTAAGACTTGTCAGGTACCACGCTAACAATTGAAAGCCGGCCTGGAGGTATTTTCGGCCAGATATTTTCTTTCTTTCGAGTTTGATAAAGTCATCAAGTGATATTTAACTAAAAGTATGATATATCTTATGACCTAAAATAATACATTTTATTTTATGATCAGTAGTGGAATACCGCGTTCTATCAGTGAAATAAAAGTGTTATTCCACTGGCTAGCAGTAGTCCATGTTGTTTTTACCTAAAATGATTGTAAAATCATAAAATAAATAGAACATTTGTCGTTTTGTCGTGAATAACATATTTTATTTCATATCTAAGCAAGAAAACGTTTATATTTTCACTCATGCTACGCATTCGTGAAAATATAAGTTTTCTTGCTTCTCGATGAAATAAAATATGTTATTCACTCTAAAACGACAAATATCCTCTATATACTATAGATTGGAAGCGTTAGCAAGGTCAAATAAATAAATACATAAATAAATAAATAAATGTTTATGTCAGCTACAGGTTTGGCTGATGACGACCATGTTGGTCAGTGGTAACAGTTATAGTTTAATCAAAAACATTCTTCGTTTTTTATTTTGTGGTGAAAGAATGTGATACCTAAAAGTAAACTAGTCTAAAATTTACATAACAATTGTTATGGGCCCCGATGTTGCTTTATGGTAATATGCGTCGCTGGTTAGATGTGGAAAGTGCACTGTCAAAACTCCCCACAGCCGACGTGTGACACATACTCTCTCCTCTGCTACACATTTATGTACCAGGAACGAAAATCCAACAGTTCGTTTAAACATTTCATATCAAGCACTGGATACATAGGTTACAAGCATAGATTACAATAAATGTCATTCTCTACTCTCTCAGCCACACCATTTCGCTGAACTACGGGTACGGACATCATATGGATTTCCGAAGACCTAACGGGGCATTCTGAATACAGATGCTGTCCTTTCAGTATCTCTCTCAATTCGTGTCTCCTCTCCAAGAATCTACAGTGTCTCCAATCTATAGGACCTAAATCAGTCTTATAACATTCACACTGTCCTTGAGACAGCCCTGTCAATTATTTAATTGGACAAATATTGCGTAATTAATTATGCTGATTGATTACTAAGCCTAATGATGTCAAGAACTATCCTTATATAGAAACTTCGCAGAACGGGTTTACTGACAAGCTACGGAGATCATATTGCTTTCCTACGCCCTAACGGGACATTCTGAATCCAGATGGTGTCTCTTCAACCTCAACGGTATCTCTCTCGCTCTCTTTCAATGCTTGTCTACTCTCTAAGAATCTGCGTGGTGTCTCCAATCTATAGGAACGAAATCAGTCATATAACATTGTCCTTGAGACACCTATCTGTCAATTATTTAATTGGACAAATATTACGTAATTAATGATACTGACGTCAAGAACCACCCTTATATGGACAGTAGAAACTTTGTACCAGAAGTGTCAGACGTAATATTTTATTTTTAACCCAAAGTTAAATGTGTATGAAATTATAATTGTTTTTAGATATAAACCTGTCACTCATTCAATTTGAGTGCGTGAGATATGACTGCTCGACAATATGTGAACCCAAAAATACCATATTATTACAGCTTTACCCGGAAGCCCTTGGGTTGTACACACTTCGTCTTACACCCTTTCTACGAATACATGTCTGGAATGTTCGTTCGGTGGTCACAATTCCAGGAGCGTAGCACTTATCATTGTTTTGTGGTGTTTAATTTGTTAGTAAAATTTGTGATAGCAGGATTCATTCGGGAAAAGACAAGAATGGATGGAGGCTGTAGTGGGATAGCGCAAAATAAACGAGGATTGAGCAACTGGATCAGCAACACACAGCTGTTTCCACGGTAATATGCAGACATATTTGCTACAAAATAAAACAAATTCTATCTGCTGAGTTTTCTATAGAATCCTTAGTAGTCTAAACGTCACTCAGAAATGAACAGTAATAATTGTATCCCATAGAATTATAACACGTATATATTACAAACAGAAACAGCGCATACAATGTAAACATTGAATGACATTCTTGTTTACTTTTAAATAACTGCGTTATCAGTCGTAGATATGGTCATCAAGTGCAGAATTATTATGACGAAATTTCTATAATGGACATTCTAGCCTATAAGTGATTATATACCTATAGATAAAGAAATTCAATAAAATGTAATGGGAGTGGTGTTTTATTTCTGTGTCTTCAAGGTATTAGCACATGTATAATATCCATCATTTCACCTGAAAATATTAATTTACACACAGGTAAATCTCTAATTGTTTTTATTGAAATCAACGTTTAGTACTGTAGATTATTAACATGAATGATCAATAAATAAATAGACATGAAATATTATGTTTAAAATCTTGTTGATAATATATGGTGGCCGATTTATATCATCCTACTATCTCACCCTCTTGGACTGAATAAAAGGCTTGGCGTTTGATATCTGCGTGACAGACGTTAAACTAAATATGCGTACAATAACTGTGAATGCGACGACAAATTGAATTAAACACACGATTTCTCTAGAAATATATTTCTGACGCTTTACAACTTGGTCCCATGTCAAACCAAAAGCCATTCTAAAGAGAGATTCTTTTAGAACTCTTGCAATATTGTAGGTAATAATTTGGATTTTAGTCAGTTGACAGTCTGAGACCCCCCCTTGGAAGAGACTCCTTTTCTTTGAAATCCCGTATAGGGAACGAATCCAGGCAACGAACCAAAAGAATAAACATGTGTGATATCCCGAAGACGAAGAAGAGTCTCCGGTCGACTGACAACCCGTAGACTAATGTAGGTGACTGAGTTCAAGCGGCCTTAATATCTAATAAGACTGAAGATGGTGCTGTGTATAACCTCTTTAAAACATTTTCAAATCTTGACTTTAATTCAGTTATTTTCTTATTTTCGGGGATGTTTGGCTACAATATTATTTTGTTTAGAGGGATATTTAGTGGATCATGAAGACCTGTATCGAGTCCTGAAAAATAATCTTAGATGTAGTAGACTTCTAGCTATTCCAACATATTATAATTTTTAAACTGTTTATAACGATGAGGACACTTTTATTTCCCAAAACTGTGATCATACTTTCAAAATCAATAGGGTTAAAACTCAGTCCTTTTGCTTCACGCCAAATTTTAAAAACAAATCTGTTAAAAAAAATATTAACAGGGGTTTCAAAAAGGGCGGTAAATTTTGGATGGAAGTTCGCGAAGAGATGATTGTCGATATGCCTTGTCTTCTCATGACCTCAATGCTTCACACAAAATTTGAAAATAAAATCACTTAAAAACTGTTTACAAGGTTTACAGGGTGGTGCTCAAAAACGTATGTCTTGGACCGATGATCGTTCTCCCACCACATTTGAAAAAGAAATCTATCGAACACTGAAGTCTCCATCGCATTAACAGGTTCTAAGGGCTAGAATGTCGCTTAAACACGAATATCACTGGGGCTCATCCACGAGTGTTCCAAATACTTGAACGTAAGCCGAATATGGTCTGCCTATTTAATGAATTATTGTTTGCTGTGATAACATAAACATATGTAAAATTGGCGGGGATCAACATTGTTCTTTAAGTTGAGTCAAATGAACTGCTAACTTCGCTTTCTGCATCTGCATAACTGGTCCTGGGTGGCGCTTCTCAGCAGCTAGGTTTAACTTTTTTTCTGTGGAATTCGGTTGACAAACAGGCAACATTTTAGAGACATATTAATGTGCATACCAAGTTTAACACTTGCAGCCAAATCAACCGGTTATGTTTAAAGGCGGAAAAATCATTACAGCATTTTAAAATATCTTTTTATATTAATTCTAGCCAAAGACAGTTGAATGTTTTAAAGGGAGATTCACGGGTACCGAGAAGCCAATTTATATAAGGGTTGGACAAGTCTGGTTTTGCATTAAGGTCAACAAGTTAAAATGTTAACACAGCATATCTGATGTTATCAGGCACGACTACACCGAACATTCCATCGGGTAAGCTTCATTGTTCTTCGTTTTCCTTTAGCCTGTATATCTGTCATTTTTAAACCAGTATTAGCTAGGCTTTTATTTAAAGTAATATATTTCTTATATTTAAGAGAGCCCATCTGGTAATACAATTGCTCTGTTAGTGTGTGGTATAATCGCGGGAACTTTGGTATTTGCTTTCTTTTGGTACTATTGTTGCTGTAGAAGAAACGATTCAACGGACTTAGATGAAGAAAACGACAGAACTGTTAACAACAGATCTAATAGTGCAATATTTATTGTTTCACCAGTCTATATATTAGATGGTAAGTCCTTAATATCTGAATACAGAAATGCTGAAGAAATAGTGATTTTCTATATCATCTGATATGATTATATGCAGTGCCAGAGTTACCTATTTATGCGTGGCGGGCTGGAGCCTAGGGTTTCAGAGTCTTGGGGGCCAAGAACCCACGGTGTATAATATTTTTAATCTGGTTAAAACACAGATCCTATTTTGTTTCGTTTTTTATAGTTCAAAATTTTGTTTTACTTGTCTTTGCTACACTTGGATCTGGAAGAGTTGTTATTTAACTCGTGTTCTGAATGGTGTCAGGGATAAGCCAATGAAACGGTCTGTTACGGCGAGCTTTAGGCGTGTTTTTCACGGAACTGTGGGTAATCCACTAGTAACATCAATGCTGATTGGTTAATCAAATGTCTGACGTCATAGGTCATAAGTCGGTCTTTTGACCCCTGACGTGACCTATCGCTATAACTTGTTAGATCTTCATGTAGTGTAGCCCATCGAAATATAAAAGAAACGAAACGAAATATAGATCTGTATTTTAATCAGATTGTAATATTTTTTACACTATAATAAGCCTTTCTTACACGCCATGTGGTCTTAAACATCTGTCATTATTATCGGTTTTGTTCAATTGTGTTTAAAACACACTTTCATCTTCATCTAGTCGTGAAGTGGAATAACTTAGGTTCATCTAAACACGGCACTACTCATTTGCCACACCTATGTATAACGAACGGAACGTTTTGCTGTGTCCTTGTGTATATAAGAAATAAAATGAAATGGGGTTTAACGTCCTACTGTTCTGCTTCGACTGGGATAATGATTTAAATTGATGTATTTAAAAACCTATTATTATCATTTCTCCATTTCGATAGATATACATTGGTATTTGTTTTTTCAAAACCATCATTCAATTTGTAATGTAATTTCATCAATCTGTATTTGATCGTTTTAACACAGATAGTACCTTACCACCACCTTATACCAGTATACTAAATGAGGACAACACATCTGTTTCCGAACCCGTCCAAACTATACCACGTGAACGACCTCCATCTTATTCAGAATTACCCAGCTACGAAAATGCGGCTCAATATGTGATAACTGATAATACGAATAATGATGAAGAGGCACGAGATTTCAGGGGGCCGCAACGACGGATATCGAGGGAGAGAATTCGAAGTCCACCACGCCAGTTGCGTATACAAAGGCATATTAGTTCTGAAAATGACGCTAGTGGAAACATTATTTCCAACCAAGAAACTGATCCTTTGGAAATTGATAACACTATTGGATTGCAGCATTCTTCCGATACAAGCGTCTAATAATAAATAAACATAATAGTGAGACCATGTTGTATTGGACTATAAGCAGGAGGAACAGGTGACATGTGCATTAATAGTCAACGGGTGTCTAAGATGGGCCTGTGCACTTCTTCCCTTTTTATACAAATAAGCCGAGATCTTAATGGAAAAGGGCGCAGCATAGTTTATGGCGATATTTGAGTAGCAACCTGCAGTTAGGATAATACTAGACATGACACCTTTTGGTTCGACCCACCGTGACCCGAGAGCAGGTCTGCATCTACACAGCTCTATTTGTCAATAACTATCATGAACAGAGTCGTCATTAAGGGAGAAATGGCTATGAATGATTTTCCTTTAAAACTTTTGATTATTGTTTCACAATTACAATTAAGCATATACCAGACACGGGCTCAAAATGATCTAATATCAATCCAGTCGGATAGACAGACATTTTCGTTTGAAGAAAACGGCCAATCACAAAATGCGATACTGACAGACTGGCGTCGCAAGGAGTGGGTGTGATAGATTTACTTTTCTTGTGTGTAATTATGTTATTTATAACAAATTGGGTTTAGCAAGGTGAAATTAAAATGCACGAATCATTGCTAATCCAAACACGTCAGATCTATCCCAATGTTTTAGTGATGTTCTCGAAGCTAGTAATACAATCGGTCTTTTAAATTTTCTTATTTAATATCATTAAAGAAAAAAATATAATTTTGTTACGTGTTCATTGCGGAGAACAAATTTTCGTGGATGTCAGCAAGATTAATAAGTAAAAGGCTGGTAATTGGGGATTTAGAGAGTTATATTACCAGTCCAAGGCTACAAGGTAAAATATATAATTCGCCAAAATACAAAACATGTAATCGGGTCACAACCTCCAGATCCGTGACCATTTCTCGGGGAACAAGGTTTGACGATGGTTTCTGATAGAACGGACACCCTAGTGAAGATATTTTTCTAAAGACTTAGTGTGGTAAGAGTTTAGAACAAAGTGTACCGTTGGAAAGCCAGTATCATATATTATCAAAACCAGCTGGGTTCAATAAGTTCACTGCATCTAAATAATAGTTCATATTTTATAAAATAGAAAATTGAGCATTGTCACATATTAATGGCATGGATGTTACTTATCGAATGCAATTGATCAGTGTCATACTTTGATAGAGTCGACTCCCCAAACCTTTTAATGGATTTAATCAAAATTTAATAGGATTTTTCAACTGGGCGGGAAATGGAACAGAGGCGTGGAATTAGAATAAGGGAGTGGAGGGATGATTCTTCTAAAAGTCATGATGGATTGCAGATAATTCATAACATATAGCAAGGATTATGCAGCAGCAGCTTTAAAGAGAATTTGTATTGAAATGTTCTGTTAAAAGCTTTTCCTGCATAATCCAGGCAATACTAGGTCCGACTAATGATTGTAAAAAACTTTATCAGTTATGATGGTAGTTTCATTGGTCCACCCATGTAAACATTGCTGTTTATGTAAAAGAAACCTTGGCTATTGGAATTCGACAAAGGTAACGAAGACAGACAAAGCAAACGAAAATTTGTCCCTGACCCAAAACCAAGAATTTTTTAATGGCTCCAATTTTGACCATCGCTTGCATTAAACTGATTATCTATGCTTAGTCTAAGCAGAAAATGTTTACGATCGAACTCAGTCAAGCTTTTTAAAGTTACAATTTTATATTTTCTAAGAAAGTCAAAACATAATTATTTCTATGTCTTTTGCTCAATAGGTTGTCAACTCACTATTATACGATCATAGGTGTCATTCTCACACTTAAAACTCATTTACACCGGAAATAATAACACAATTACCTCCCTTGTTTTCTATTCTCCACCATGGAGTAGTTATCTTCAAACGTTGGAATTTGAAGATGAAAATGATATTTTTGCCAATTTCTCAAAGTTATCTTGCTCCAAAGCATCGACAATGAATTGAGACATTCTACCGCAATTAAAAGCTGAGTTATTATGTTCCAAAGCTCGGACCAATCAAATTACTTATCGCTACGTAGCCGAAGCAGACTGTTCTCGTTATCGAACTTAGTGAAGCTATAATGAATCTCTAACCCAATTAGAACAACAGTTATCGTGTTGCAAAGACTCAACCAATGAAATGGCTTACCTCTGCCCAGCCTTAGTGTAAAATGTGTAAAATCGAACACTGTCAATGCATTCACCTAATAAACACCTACACCAAGTTTGAACATTCTGCGTCAATTAAAAGGAGAGTTATTGTCTAACAAAGCCTTGAACAATTAGATTGAAGTTTCTACTTAGCCTAAGCTGAAAATGATCATCACTGAACTTGGTCAAGGTATTAAAGTAATGAAATTAGATACGACGTGTCACCATACTCTCTCAATTAGAATAAAAGTTATCAAGCTACGAAGTATCGACCAATCAAACTGGAATATAATTAGACTATACACCAAGTTTAATCACTCTCACTTAACTAGAACCAAAGCTATGTTGTTGTTGTGGTTTATTACAGATTTAACGTCCAATACAATGAATATGATATGATGGACAGGTTGATTTAATTAAATAATTTACACTTGAAAATTGTTAAAAACAAATTAAAAAAAGGGGGGGGTGTCCTCGGATACCAAAAGTTCCTTAAAGCACACTTATAAACACGCTGTCGTAAGAAGAGAGGGTGGGCCATCTTCTCCCTTTGTCATAATAAAGTTAAACAGGAGGTCCAACTGACAAACCCGTGGGGAAAAAGAATCCGCTGGCTTTGTGTGGAAAAGCGAAGTGCTCGCAGTAAAAACCACATAGCTTGACCCGCAGATTATTTACATATTAAAAGTGTTCGTCCAATAAGTTCCAAAGCTATCGTGTCCCAAAGGGTTAACGAATCAAAATGATTATCTCTGCTTACCCTAAGCAATTAATGCTCATCTTCGAAATCCATCAAGGCATTCACCTACACCAAGTTTAAACAGCTTAATTAGAAGGAGCGTTATTGGGTCCCAAAACGTCTGACGGACAAACGGACGGACGACCGGACAGACAGGTCCATTTTAATGGCCCCCTTCTTTCTTCGAAGGGCGGGAGACAAAACTAAATTAGTCGTGGCAAAGTCGTCCCGGGGAGCGGCTATAACGCTTGGCCAACCAAAATTATGCAATGTAATTTTTAGAATCAATTTATCATGTTTTTGTGTCACAAACAGAGCATTTCATAACCTAAGTGATACCTCGATATCTCCGTGGTATTAAAACGACGTGCCCTCTGAGTGTTTAGTTGCGAAATGATACAGTCGTATCCAATTAATAATTTCTACAAGATTTAAGTATAACATAATGGGTGAATTTAACACCATGTCCAAGGTAAGACGCAAGAAGACTGTGTATAAAATATTTTGAATAGTCAACTAGCACAATTGGAAGACCAATGAAATTAATTGCTCATAAGGTTATCGCAGATTCGGACATTTGAGTATCTGTTGATATCATAAAATCTAATAAACCAAAAAAACACCCGTGATTATTTCACTTTTTTTTAATTATCAAAAATATATACGAGTCATATAACATGTTTATATTTACATAGTAAGTTAACTTTATATTATTGTTTTTATTTGTTAATACTTAGCAAACTATAATGTACAAAGGCTGTTAGACTAATGATGAAACATGGAACATAATGTGAACAAAATAACAAGACAAAACAATCACAAATAGTTCGTAAATAAACTGAACTATTAACACACAAATGTTGGGTCTTGAATCTATAAAAGTCCAAAAATTAAAACTCCCAAGAAGACACTTTGTGAAAATGATTACATTATTCCATCAAGAGTCAACTTCATTGGTTGATTTGGGGAAAAAATCAATGCACATAAAATGTAAAAAGGACACGACTTCTATGACTTGGGTTAACAATATATATAAGTATCTATTTGATTCAATTTAATGTGTTGATTTGTGTCGAGAATAGCTGTCTACAGAAATTATAAAAGATTACACACCATGATGTTTGTACTAAGAGTCATGTTGAAACTAAGTACGAGACAGTTATAATATGATCCTTACCTGTCATTATTTAGAATAACACATGACACAATTATAACAAGTTATTAGAACCATGTGTAATAAATAATCATTTTATAGGAGAGGTTCACTGCACTGATCATTTATATAGAGCTTGGTTTTAATGTTTTATTGGCGTTAACAAAATAAACCTAACATAATAAATAATTTTCATTCCAGTCGATCGACAGAATAATGCATGGTTTTCTTGGGAAACAGATCACTCTACATTAGTTACTATAAAACGTAAATGATTCCTGTAAATTCTGGTACTAACTCCAATAATGTTTACTGTTGATCTACATTAGTTCGTTTCTGTTTGATAAAGGTCAAATATTCATACGGGAATAAAATAAAATATTATACGGGAATACAATCTTACATATACATGTATCTGTAATGTAGTTTATTAATGTATGCAAGTACGGGGACATTTAATAGATAAATAGGCAGTTTTCTATAATGTAGAAAGCCGACCTACTAATTCTGAAAGTATTTAAACATGTGCTTCCTTTCAAAATTACATTTACGCCCTCACTATTATGCAAATATATAGGTGTAGTCAACAATTTTGTTTTTGATAAAGTCAAATAGTTATGCTGGAATAAAATCCATCATATAATGCAGTTTGTTAATGTATAGGGCATTTAACAGAGACATAGGTATGTTTCTGAAAGCAGACCTACAAATTCTGAAATCGTCGGGTGGTGAAATATTTACACATGCAACCCTAACAGAATAATTACATTTAAATGTTAACTATTATGCAAATAAGTGTATTTAATATAATATTTAATATAAATTTTCTACATAAAAACACATCTTTGGATTTAAAGGATTTTCGATTATATAATCAAGGGAAATATGTTTTAATTTAAAAATTTATATAAAACTTGGCGAAATGTTAAGTTATAGTGGAATGGAATAATTTCGGTGATTGATTGTATTGTCAATGCCTGTCACTTCCCTTTCGTCTACTAAAGCTAAGTCTTCTTGACTGTCTATGGATTGGGTTGAATTGTTACGCCTTCGTACATGGAACTGTTGTGGATTTCTTCGAATTCTCAAGTCATCTCTTGATATTTGCCGTTGTGGTTGTTCTGGTACCGGATTTGGCTCTGGGTGGCTTCTAGTTTCATGTATTTCATACTTGGCTGAATCTTCATAGGCTGGTAATTCGGAATAAGCTGGTGGTGGTACTGAGGGTATGTTTCCAGGATAGTAAGGTGCTGTGATATTATATTCAGGACTAGACACCCCGGAGTATGGTGGGGGTGATGACGTATCTATAATATAGAACATAAATATTGTTTGTATTTTACTTCTGAGGTTGTTCTTTTATTAAAGCAGTGGTTTAAATGTAATTTTAAAATATAAATCTTTTTGATGTTTTCTTCATCTTCGCGTATGATTGTTCCATTTTTGATATGGCGTGATGTGCAGTTCTTGGTCCATAGTACTTTCGTACTTGTTAAAGCAGTGGTAGAAATTGGATAAAACAAGCCAACAGTGAGGCTGAAGTCCCCCGCCGAAATCCCAAAATAAATAGATGACACGTATTAATTAATCGCACATTTATTTTTTTCAAAAGTATCGAGCAATCAAACTATACACTAAGTTTCATCATTCTCTATCATATAGAATCAAGATTATCTTGTCCCAAAGCATCGACCAATGAAATTGATTAGCTCTGCTTAGCTTTAGCTCGAAATGTTAATCATTGAGCTCGGTCAAGACATTCACTTAATGAACATCAAATTTAAACATTCTACCTCAATTAAAAGCAGAGTTGTTGACCAATCAAATTGCTTATCGCTCATTTGCCTAAGCAGAAAATACTCACCATCGAACTTAATCAAGGTAATGATATAATGAATCTATATTCGGAGTTTCATCGCTCTCACTTCATTATAACTAAAGTTATCGTGTCCCAAAGCATCAACCAATCAGATTGCTTATCTCTGCTTACCGTA